CCAAAATTTCTAAGTTTCAAAGGGGCAAATAATTCTGCAAATATTGCAGGCAGAGTTAAGCAATTTTGCAAACTGATGTACATTGTTACTATAAAAAAGTATTTTAAATTTCAATTGAATATCTCAAGCAATAATTGAGATATTTGACATTACAAAAAATCTTTAACCAAAATTTCCAAAGGGGCATAATTCTGTCAATATTGTAGGCACAGTTATCCAACTTGTCAATCTGATGTACCTTGTTACTATAAATAAGTATTGTAAGTTTCAATTAAATATCTCAAGCAATAATTGAGATATTTGACTTTACAAAAAACTTTAACCAAAATTTCTAAGTTAAAAAGGGGCATAATTCTGTCAATATTGTAGACAGAGTTATCCAACTTGTCAATCTGATGTACCTTGTTACTATAAATAAGTATTGTAAGTTTCAATTGAATATCTCAAGTAATAATTGAGATATTTGACTTTACAAAAAACTTTAACCAACGCAGACGCCGACGCGGACGCTGACGCCGACGCCGGGGCGACTACAATAGCTCTCATATTCTTCGAATAGTCGAGCTAACAAACAATTCTTGTAGGAGAAAAAGTCCAACCATCCATCCATATTTCTGTTACTTACTGCGAATTTATATTAGACCTGGCTTAGTAAAATGCAAGCGGCACCCATTGTTTAAAGTTGTGTATTTCATGGGAGGAAAATAATTGTGTAAGATTCAGAGGAATATAATTTGGATTTGTTAGTCATACACCTTTTTAAAAGAAAGAAAACTTATTTGAGGATTGTAACAGACAAAAAATAAGTGTTGACAGATGTGAAAACATTCAGAAAAGGAGCTAGGAAAATGGAAAACTTGGAAGCTTGCTCAGGATCGCTGGGTTGTTTTACTTATTCTTCGAGTGATGGCTGTCAATGCTTTTCAATTTTTCATGAAGCATACGGCAGTTATTGCTCGTAGGATACTTTAATATGCCCAAATGTCATCAAGAGCAGTTTTGCATGGGGAAGGAATGTATTTTTCAGACTGTAAAAACGAAACAAAAAAAATTAGAGACGAAATTTGGTGATTGGAATTTGAATGAATAGAAGTAAGTTTTCTTCTTTTTATTTCTTTTGACATTTAAGTTATTTATCTATTTCAGCTTTGCTATTTCTTTTAACAGCCTGACATTGTCAGAATTGTCAGTAAAAATAAAATTGAGGTACCACATGGGGAAAATCTTAAAAAAGTAGTTTCGTCATTGAAAAAAGTGAAATTATATTTTGATAATTTTCACTGTGAAATTATCAAATATAATTTTCATGGATAAATCAGTAATCCACTGAAAAGCATAAAATAAACCACCATATTTATTGACAATAACACAAAATGTTGGCAGATTCAATCAATTTTTGCCTATTACATGATTAAAGACACCTGCATATACATAATTGTTGATAAAGTAAAGGTAAACAATGCCCAACGTCTCAAAGATGTGAATATATTCGAAAACTTGATTGTTAACCAGAAATGTGTACATAGGACACAGGTGCCCCCCACACTCCACCACATGCTGACCAACATTTTTGTAAACTTTAAGGCCTACAGGTCAAATACTTTTTGAGCTATGCATAAACAAGTTGAAAATTGCAAATTTATACTATTGTAAGTCAAGGGCAATAACTGAAAAAACAAAACTACATGTATAAAAAACACAAGCAAGTCCCAGGTGCATAGCTTCACAGCAATGTTGATCATTAATCCTGTAAAGTTGGTTGATTCTAACTCAAGCACTAAAGGAACAAATAACACAACATAGTGAAACGGCTTGGGCAATAACTCTAAAAAGGGCAATAACTCTAAAAATACTAATTAAATCCACAAGAAAATACCCAGGTGCACAACTACACATGCTGATCAACATTTCTGTAAAGTTTCACGACTCTAGGTCAAAAAATTTTTGAGCTACATTCAACACAAAAGGGCCACGGAAGGACGGATGGACGGCCACGTAAGGACAGATGGACGGCCAGAGGGACAAGGGTTAATCTAAATCTCCCCCCCCCCTCCAAAGTGGGGGCACAAAAACTTTCGGAGCACTAATTTGTAGAAATGATGTGAAGATTTGTATCAATTATTTTCTTAGTACATTGAACTCAAGTTAACACATTGATTATACAAAATTAAATATCTGTAACATCCTGGCTTGTGGGCAAATTGCTAAACGAAAGTTATATATGATGACCCGAGTCTGACTCATTGCCAATTGATACTGTTACCAACTAAACACAGTGATACTCACTTCATGTATATAGTATATGTAAATTTTGTGTTTGTTATTGGTATACATTTATGAAAAGAAGATTTATAATACAATTTTTCTATTTGAGAGGTATTTTTTATTTCTTTTTAATATGGTTTGTAAAGTTTCCTAGCTTATAATTCTCCAGATGAAGCCTAATATGTCTCCTAACTTCTCCCTAAAGTCTCTTCTCTTAAAGTCTTCCTAAATCAGCTGGAGGAAGAAGTCACTTCTCCCTAAAATTTTGACCAAGCTCAAGCCCTGAAAATATTTTTTCCTATTTTTACCCACTGTGTCATAGTTTTTTAATCCAAGACGACACATATTTGTACTAGACCTAGAAATCATCAAATCAACCTTCCTGATCAAGGATCAAAACTGCAGCCTGTTGTGTTTAAAAGATTTTTTTCTATTTTTAGCTACTGTGACCCGAGACGACCCATATTAGAACTTTACCTAGAAGTTATCAAATCAATCTTCCTGATCAATTTCCAGAATAGTTGGGTCAAAACTGCAGCCACTAGAGTGTTAACAAGATTTTTCTATTTTTAGATCCTGTGACCTAGTTTTGACCAGAGACAACCTATATTAGAACTTAACCTTGAACTTGACTACCTCCTTCACGACAGAGCTGTCTCAAAGAAAAAAATCCTGTATTTTCTTTAATGTTTTGTTCTGATTTCACTTTTATCTGATTTCTAGACATTATCTACTTGAAAAGTATTTGTTTTTAATCTGAATCGCTGTTCAGATGAAAATTGGAGGAAAAATAATCTGATTCATGATGAAACGGTCCATTTCAACATTAAATTCGCTAACTGGGAAATGCCACTACAACTTCACATCAAACACAAATTTATCAATTTTACGTTTCTGAAACTTTAATCAAAGCTATATGGTATAGCATTCTTCGAATTTCGATATTTATTGTAAAGTTTTCAAAATATATAAAAAATGACAACATTAGACACATAATTTTAGCGACATGCACTAGCTCGGAAGTAGCGATAGAGCGATTTGCCATATACCTCCGAAAAAGGTAGCTCTATCATTTACCAGGCCTTTAGAAATCATCAAAACAACCTTCCTGACCAATTTCCAGAATATTTGGATCAAAACTGCAGCATAAGAGTGTTAAGATTTTTCTATTTCTAGCTCCTGTGACCTAGTTTTTGACAGGAGATGACCGGGCCATATTCAAATTTGACCTAGAAATCATCAAAACAAACCTCCTGACCAATTTTAAGAATATTTCGATCAAAACTGCAGCCACTAGAGTGTTTACAAGATTTTCTATTTTTAGCTCCTGTGACCTTAACAGGAGATGACCCATATTCAAACTTGACCTAGAAATCATTAAAACAACCTTTCTGATCAATTTCCAGGATATTTGGATCAAAGCTGCAGCCAATAGTGTTAACAAGATTTTTCTATTTTTAGATCCTGTGACCTAGTTTTTGACAGGAGATGACCCATATTTAAACTTGACCTGGAAATCATCAAAACAATCTTCCTGACCAATGTCCTGAATATTTGGATCAAAACTGCAGCCCTTAGAGTGTTAACAAGATTTTTCTATTTTTAGCTCCTGTGACCTAGTTTTTGACCGTAGATGACCAATTTTCAAATTTGGCCTAGAAATCATCAAAAACAACCGGAAGAGTGTTAACAACCCAAATGTTGATGACGAACGACAACGGACGCCAGACATAGCCCCATCACTAAACCTCCCATCACTTTCTCTCACCTTGACTACTTTATGGTCAGGTGCACTAAAAACAAAGTAATGACAACGTTTCAACTTGACCTTGACGATTACGGTCAAATAAAGGTCAAGGTTATAAACCAAATATTTAAACCAAGTTATCACAAAATCTGTCACTGAAAGACAAAAAGATATGGACTGGACATAACAATCAATGCATGGTCATTATATCATGACTTCCGACATTCAAGTATGAACTTGACCTTTGGGATGCCGGGTTAACTTTGGTTTATTACATATCATCTTAGTAAGAGGATATTTATGCATACTTATTTCAATGTCTATCCGTGAATGACAAAGCTATTCTCAAAAGAAGACAATCTATTCACAATTGTCAAATCTGATATACAAATGTGACTTTGACCTTTGAACTGGAAACCTGACCCTAATGCAAGACACAGCAACTTACACATTTATGCCAAACTATTTTAGAATCCATCCAGGAATGCCAGAATTGATGTCACAAGCCATCTTAAGAAGTTTTGACGGTTGTGGGTCAAATGGCTCCCTAGTAATTGAACAGAAAAGAAGACGTTTTCCAACCGACCTACATACTGACCAACATTTGCAAAACTATATACAGTAACAACTCTCCCTGACCCAGACGTGTTCTGTACAAGCATAAATTCCTGAATCTGAGAGGATTCCGGATTGAAGATTTTGTCTCTTTTGGCAAAAAAATTGTCTATCATTATAGCATAAACCTGTAATAAGACCTTAGATAATGTAAATTGCTTTAAAGAAACTTAGAACATGCTACATATAAACAAATTTTAACTACAGATCTTTTTGAATAAGATTTCTAAAGATTTGGCTAAGATGTTACAAAGGACATGGCATTTGAAAAATAAAATTGCAAATTACAAGACAACAATCTTCAAAACTCACATATATAATATGTGCTTAAAATTCTGACAAATAATTTAATTCAACAGTAACATGAAAATACCCTATAGCAAAAAGTCCAGCCTTGTTTGGTGAAGCTGCCATGCAAAGTATGCATCCCTTCTCAGGTCTATGTGCAGCTTGTTTATTACTCTCAAATTGCCAAACTCCAACTGTTCCATGCTCATCACCAGACACTATCAGATCTGTCTCCTCCAGGGACCAACTTATGCATGTAACTTTATGCTGAAACATCACAGTCATCAAATGAGATATTATTCCATAAATAACAAGCAATTATCGAATCATAGTATTGTACGAAATCCATAAGTCCCCTATCGGTTAGAACCCTAGCAACATTCCAAAGGGCCATTGGCCATTCAATTATGCCATTGAATGAATGACATGAGTGAACTTAAATCTTTTGAGATCTTAGTTTGTCTGTATCATAGAAATGTGTTCTTTCCCTGCCTAATATTGAAATTATGTTTATACAACAGACAATCAAATGGTTCAATTTTCTCAGGATGAATATGCATAAATAATGTTACAACTTCTCTCTATTTTAAGTAAATTTGTTGGAAAAGGTCCAAGTTCTTTAAAAATGATCTCAGGAAATGGTTTTTAGGAACAAACAGACAGACAGACAGACTAGTTAATTTTTTAAACATTCCTAGTTGTTACCAAAATATATGATTTTAAAAAAGAGGAGATAACTCTTGAAATAAAGATGCTAGACTTATGAACATTGTCAAACATGATGTGAGTTGTAACAAAGAACAATTAGCTCAAGTTTAAATAGTCACAACACCAAGAAGAAAAGTGAGAAAATAACAGTTTTAAATATACATAGTAACAAACTAGACATGTGTCCATAGGACACGGGTGCCCCCACACTCAATCTAATGCCTCTTAGGTCAATTTTTTTTTTTGGCTACATGTGCCCAAGTTGAAAACTAAAAATCCCTTATTAAGTAAAGAGCAAATACTACAAATATTGAATAAATTCACAAGAAAACCCCAGGCTGACCAACATTACTGTAAACTTTCAGGCCTACAGGTCAAATACTTTTTGAGTTACATGCAACACAAGTTGAATATTGTAATCTTTACTAAGACAAGGGCAATTACTCTATATACTAAAAATATCTACACGAAAATACCCAGGAGCACAACTACACATGCTGAGCAACATTCCTGTAAGGTTTCATGACTCTAAGTCAAATACTTTTTGAGTTACATGCGACACAAGTCTGAAAATTGCAAAGTTTTACCAAGTCAAGGGCAATAACTCTAAAAATACTAAATATATCCACACAAAAATACCCAGGTGCACAACTACACATGCTGATCAACATTCCTGTAAGGTTTCATGACTCTAGATCAAATATTTTTTGAGTTACGTGCAACACAAGTTGAAAATTGCAAATTTTTACTAAGTCAAGGGCAATAACTCTAAAAATACTAAAAATATCCACACAAAAATACCCAAATGCACATATTCACATGCTGAGCAACATTCTTGCAAGGTTTCATGACTTTAGGTCAAATACTTTTTTAGTTACGTGCGACACAAGTCGAATATTGGAAATGTTTACTAAGTCAAGGACAATAACTCTAAAAATACTAAAAATATCCACACGAAAATACCCAGGTGCAACACTTCACATGCTGAGCAACATTCTTGTGAGGTTTCATGACTTTCAAAGGTCAAATACTTTTTTAGTTACATGCGACAAAAGTTGAATATTGGAAATTTTTTACTAATTCAAGGGCAATAACTCTAAAAATACTAAATATATCTACACAAAAATACCCAGGTGCACAACTTCACATGCTGGTCAACATTCCTGTAAGGTTTCATGACTGTAGGTCAATTACTTTTGAGCTATGTGCGACACAAAAAGAGAACGGAGGGAGGGAAGGAGGGACGGATGGACGGACATACTCACAAAATGGTAACTTATGTGACTTTTCCTTTGATCTTTTTGGCCATTTTTAGTCACACAAGGCTTAAAAAAAGACACACAAGTAAAAACGGAATGAATAGGATCAAAGAGAATTTACTGTTACCCATTGTTCTCCAAGTCACACAAGTACCTCTGGGTTCGTACTGACGTACAGGCAAAGTGGTGACTATATGAAACAAGAACCAGATGAACCGGGTGATGATCTCCAAATAAGTTTTGGACATAGAAAAATGTACCTCTTGTAGTTTCAGAGTTATGTCCTGGACAAAGTTAAAAGTGCAATAATTCCAAACTTAGGCAAGACAAAGTTACTGTTCTTTGCACTGCTCATCTACCCAATGATATCTATCTACCTACAAAGTTTCTTGTTCATATCTCTTATAGTGTCAGTTATGTCCAAGACAAAGTTCAAAATGTAAATATGAACAAAGGGCAATAACTTCAAAATCAGGCAAGGCAGAGTTAAGGTTCTTGTGCAAATGAGATCTCTCAACCTACAAAGTGTCTTGTTCATATCTATTATACTGCAGAACTATGTCCTAGACAATGTTAAAAATGTTTGAATGGACAAAGGGCAATAACTCCAAAATTAGGCAATGCAGAGTTATGGTTCTTTTGCACTGCACTTTTACCCAATGAGATCTATCCCCCTACAAAGTTTCATCAGGGTTTCCACACTTTTCTTAAAATGACTTTCAAGGACCTTTTCACTCAACATATTTCTTTCTTTCTTTAAAAAAAACTAGAACTATCACTAAATGTGATTAATACCCCCACAAGACTGCTTCAGAAATGAGGATGTTACTAGTAACAGAATACCTTGTAAAAGAATTAAAATATAGAGTTATGGTTGTGGGCAATTAAAGATAGTTGTGGTTCTTGTATGTTGCATTTCCTTCCAATGTAGTTGGCCATTGATGAAGTTTTATTGAATTACTCTGTAATAAGTCCAGAAAGACAAGCAAAAGAAACAAAGGGCAATAAATAACTCAATACTGAAGATGGAGTTAAAGTTCTTGTGCACTGCACTTCCTCTTATTGTGCTTGACCATTGTATGAAGTTGTTTTGAATTCCAACCAGTAGTTTTCAAGTCATGCTCTGGACAATGAAAAGTATCAAAGGGCAGTAACTCTGTATTTTGTCAAAATCGAGTTATGGTTCTTGTGCACTGCACTTCCTCTCAATGTGCTTGTATGAAGTTATATTGAATTCCAACTATTAGTTTTCAAGTTATGCTCCGGACAAAAAAAAGCAATGGAAAAGTAACAAAGGGCAATAACTCTGTAATTAGTCAAGATGGAGTTATAGTTCTTGTGCACTGCACTTCCCCTTATTGTGCTTGACCATTGTATGAAGTTGTTTTGAATTCCAACCAGTAGTTTTCAAGTCATGCTCTGGACAAGGAAAAGTAACAAAGGGCAGTAACTCTGTAATAAGTCAAGATGGAGTTATGGTTCTTGTGCACTGCACTTCCTCTCAATGTGCTTGACAATTGTATTAAGTTATAATGAATTCCAACAATTAGTCTTCAAGTTATGGTCCGGACAAAAGAAAGGAATGGAAAAGTAACAAAGGGCAATAACTCTGTAATTACTTTAAATAGAGTTATAGTTCTTGTGCACTGCACTTCCCCTTATTGTGTTTGACAATTGTATGAAGTTGTTTTGAATTCCATCCAGTAGTTTTCAAGTTATGCCCCGGACAAGGAAAATAAACAAAGGGCAATAACTCTGTAATTAGTCAAGATAGAGTTATGGTTCTTGTGCACTGCACTTCCTCTCAATGTGCTTGACCATTGTATGTAGTTATATTGAATTCCAACCATTAGTCTTCAAGTTATGCTCCGGACAAAAGAAAGGAATGGAAAAGTAACAAAGGGCAATAACTCTGTAATTACTTTAGATAGAGTTATGGTTCTTGTGCACTGCACTTCCTCTTATTGTGTTTGACAATTGTATGAAGTTGTTTTGAATTCCAACCAGTAGTTTTCAAGTTATGCCCCGGACAAGGAAAAGTAACAAAGGGCAATAACTCTGTAATTAGTCAAGATAGAGTTATGGTTCTTGTGCACTGCACTTCCTCTCAATGTGCTAGACCATTGTGTGTAGTTATATTGAATTCCAATCATTAGTTTTCAAGTTATGCTCCGGACAAGGAAAATGCAACGGACGTCTGGACCGACCGACCGACCGACCGACCGACCGACCAACCGACCGACCACCGGGTGACTCCTATATACCCCCCCAAACTTCGTTTTTGGGGGTATAAAAACTTTAACAAACAAAATATTGATTCAGTGTCAGGACTTTCAAGGACTTTTTCACTCAACATTTTTAACACATTTTATTTGCATCACACTATTAAAATTTAACTGTATCCCTATTTTCTTGATTTCAACTATAATTTGTGCTAAGCAAACCATTGTGATGCTGCAATAGAATAGTTTAGTCCATCTGATCACTCAGTGCTATTCAGAGCAAGTTCTCAACATTGTATTATATAAACTAAGTGTATAATGGTTGATCCTGGGTAGTACCAGTACTTTACTCCAATTCTCTGAAAAACAACCAAGTTTTTTCAAAGAATAATCAATATAACACACTGAAATATTTGACATAAAAACAGAGCTTCAGATAATGTTTTGGCCAAGTGGGCTTTACCCCTCAAAATCTAGAGTGAGGGGTAAAATGCAAATTCTGAAGAAAAACAAGAGGGCCATGATGGCCCTAGATCGCTCACCTGACTTATCAAACTCATCCAAACAATTACCTAGACAAGCATTCTGACCAAGTCTCATGACAGGTGAGTCAAAAATGTGACCACTACAGTGTTAACAAATAATATCCATATTTGAGCAGTGCGACCTAGTTTTTTACCCAGGTGACACATATTCAAACTTGACCTAGAAATCATCAAAACAAACTTTCAGACCAATTTCCAGGATACTTGGATCAAAACAGTAGCAACTAGAGTGTTAACAAGATTTTTCTATTTTTAGCTCCGGTGACCTAGTTTCACATGCGATTTCGAACTCATCCAAGCAATTACCTAGGCAAGCATCCTGACCAAGTTTGATGATAATCAAGTCGAAAATGTGACCACTAGAATGTTAACAAGGTTTTTCCATATTTGGGCGGTGTGACCTAGTTTTTCATCCAAGATGACCCATGTTCGATCTTGACTTAGAAATCATCAAAACAAACTTTCAGACCAATTAACAGAATATTTGGATCACAACAGTAGCCACTAGAGTGTTAACAAGATTTTTCTATTTT